AAATACCTGGAGATTTGGAGGCAGAGCCTGGGGAGGGCGGGGTTTGGGGAGGGGAGGGGCTTCAGTGGGACAGAATGCCATAGACCCCACCTTCCAAAGTGGCTCAAAAATGATGGCCACAGTCACAGAACAGACCGAAAGAAGAAGAAACAGTGAGATAACTGCGCTAGAGAATATTTAAATAACAATCACAAAATGTATACAAGAATGTGTACAAAAAATCTACATCTATAAATGCACAAAGGCAGTTGAAAATGATGTAATTGACGATGATCTCCGGAATGTTCTATCATTTAGATACTATTCTTCTTCCGAATGTGGATGAAAGCCTTATGAAATCATATGCAATAACAATATTATGTGAAGAATCTCTGGTACATGTACATACAAAAATTCAATAAAAAGATTTTTTCAAACTTTACGTACAGCGACTCTTGGTCTGTTATTTCAACAGGTACGTATCAACAATTTCATTAATTTTCACCGATGTATCTATGAAATGTAACAATAAAATGTAACACATCATCATAATCTGTGCAACCCAAGCCATGTCCCAGCCTTGCACCATGTATCAGCTGCAAAGTGGGAAAGAAAGGGTTGGTAGGCAACATGGAGCCCAGTGTGATTTTCCTTGAGCCAGCACTTGTATGCTGATGTGGAGGGGAGGGGCAGCATCCGCAGCAAGTGTCCCAGAGGGACAGGACACGCAGACCCCATTCCCACCCACCCCCACGCTGCTGGCTGCTGCTTCCCCAGCAGGGGTGACTTTTCCCATGCATATGTGGAAGCAGCCCAGAATTAATGCATTACATTCCGCCTGAGAAAGGAAGGGGAAGGAGGCAGAAGCCAAGCCCACGTATGACCCTAGCAACCAGCCAAGTTCTTGCACAAAGTCGGCTTAATGTCAGTTTGATGTAGTGTTATGTCTTAGCTTATGCACAGTTCTATATTAAAAGAGCATTGCAAGGATTGACCTAATGGGCCAATCAGAGAAGCCTTTGCCTTCGACGGGAACCATTCTCATTGGTTCCAAGCTCCATGTTCCTATTGGTTGTTATCTGTTTGTTGGGTGTGGTTTTGCCCGTTCAAATCGTATATAAGTCAGCCTTGTTCTATGAAGTTTGTCCTGTGTGTTATGAGCTGAATAAAATGAAATCACTTGTTCAAGAACCTGCCTCGATCTCAGTTCATAATATGTAGCATCTGAATGCATCCTGATGGAGATTTATTTTAAACGAAAACCATACTGCTGTGCTACTATGGAAAAGAACAGCTCAAACAGGAAGAAGAATGCTGCACAGAGGGCAAACAAGAGACTGCTGCCAAAGTTTACTGGTGGTTAATTCCTCGGTTGGAATGCAAATCTGCCCAGTTTAAATAACCTTCAGCTGTGCTACAAATCAAGCCCCATTTATCCCCAAGAACTTCTTCTGCTCTGGATGGTAAATGAGGAACATGTCACACATTACAAAGTCTTTGTGTCACCCCCGTGGACATTTCAATGAGACAGGTGTTCAGAACTTTCCCTGGCACACAGATCCGATTCACATCAATGTGTGGGGAGGAGGGGGGGAATTTTTCATATCTGAAACCACCATCTGCCCCATTGGGGAACCTTCCCTATAATGATGGCTATGCATAATTTCCCCTTCTCCTGATCCCGCAGATTGCCTGGGACTTGCGTTCCAAATAGCGCATCTGAGGACTCTGTAATGTTTAAATCGGCTCCAAGAGTCTGCGCCTGCAACACCAGGGTTCATCAGACCAGCTGCAGGTCTGCTGAGAGCCACCATGGGCCCCCAGACAAAGATTCCACTGGCCCCCCATTACCCTGATCCAAACCAAAATGTCACAACAAATCACTTGCCTTGCTGTTCCCATGCATCCACGTGTAAGTCGGTCTGTCAGTTTGTAGCAGGCATAACTCATTAGAAAATAACGCTGGGAGTATTGAAATTGGCCACCGGCTTCAGGATGATCACGGGAGTTCCAGTAACAAAAAGAGAAAGGAACCTGAATGTTCTGGTCCATGTTATCTCCAGACCACCCCTCCATAATAACAACGATGGAAACGAAAGGTCTCTGTGGCAGGCATTTTTATTTTTTTGCTGTTGTCATAGCTGACTTATGGTGACCCTTCGAGTGGTTTTCAAGGCAAAAGACGTTCAGAGGTGGCTTGTTATTGCCTGCCTCTGCGTAGTGACCCCTGGACTATCTTTGGTGGCGTGGTCTCCCATCCAAATAATTTGTTGTTGTTGTTCAGTCGCACAGTCGAGTCCGACTCTTTGCGACGCCATGGACCAGATCACGCCAGGCCCTCCTGTCTTCCGCCATCCTCTGAAGTTGGCTCAATTTCATGTTCGTTGCATCTGTCTAAGCATCTCATCCTTTGCCGTCCCCGTCTTCTTTGACCTTCAATCTTTCCCAGCATCAGGGTCTTCTCCAGTGGGTGCTCCCTTCTCATTGGGTGGCCAAAGTATTTGAGCTTCAGTTTCATTATCTGGCCTTCCAGGGAACAGTCAGGGTTGATTTCTTTTAGGATTGACTGATTTGATTTCCTTGCAGTCCAAGGGACTCTCAAGAGTCTTCTCCAGCACCATCGGTCAAAAGAATCTATTCTTCGGCGCTCGGCCTTCCTTATAGTCCAACTCTCGCAGCCATACATGACTACTGGGAATACCATTGCTTTCCAAATAATAACTAGGGCCAACTCTGCTTAGCTTCCAGTGTCTGACAAGATCAAGCTAGCCTGGGCTATCTGGGTCAGGAGGTGAGAAGCACTGATCATCAGAAAAATAATGCTAGTTGTTAGAAAATTGGCCCGAGGTGCTCAAAATGAAGAGATCAGAACATCCTGGACCAAGTTATCTCCGCGACAGGTGACATGGAACAAGACCACTTTCAAGGAACCTGTCATGTCTCTAATACTCAGGTCCCCAATCTGCCAGCCAAGGTTTCTGGGTGACACACCCTCAGCCAGACCTACCTCACTGCATTGTTGCGAGGATAAAATGGAGGACAGGAGAATAATGGAAGCTGTTTTGGTTCCCCATTACGGAGAAACAAGGGGTACGAAATTTGTTATAAATCTAATTTTGCGTATAGTTCACCCGAAAAGGGATGACTGCTGCTGTTGCCTCATCAAGTGTACTGCTGCAGCTCTTTCAGTAGGGGACAGAATTGCTCACTCAGTATTCAGACTACTGTTAAATATTGCAAGTGCAGGGATGGGTGCAGGCCCTTAGTATCTATAGCTTTCCTTCCTCTTTCCTCCCTCTCCCACCAGCTTTCCTCCCTCTTTCCAACCAAACCTTTCCTGCCAAAAATGCCCTCCTCATCTACTCCATTTCCACAGCCTCTGCCTCTCAATATTTCTCTCTGTAGCCATGTGTTTAATTTTGTAATTTTACACTTGCACGCACACACACACACACACACACATATATAGGTCTAATGAAGTGGGCTCTATTTCACAAAAACATACTATCACAATAAATCTTTAGCAGATAAACCAGTGAGAAATCTGTTTCCAGTTTACCCATGTACCTTTCCCTAGAACAAAAGCAGGGGCAAAATGGTCTATGTAGTGGTGCTGGATGGGAAGTACTGGGGTCACTGGGACTGACTTTGCTGTCTTTTTCTTTAAAAGGGGGGGAAGAGTGCCAATTATGCACTCTGCTCAAAACCCCTTGCAATAGTCCAGTGTATGCTAGACAAACCTCTCCAGGTACGCATAGTTATGTATGCTCTGACAGTTGCAACATTGCAAGGAATTCTACGCCGCTTGTATTGGAGAACACAGTAAGAAAACCTTGAATACAGGTGGGTAGTGACAGAAGGCCACCCTGTCCTGGAGGAAAACAACGCTGCAGTGATACACCAGATAAAGTGAAGCAATCGTGTTAGCCAAATTGCCTTGAATTATTAATTAGTCTAGGGGAAGTTATGATTATTAATTTGGCAATAGGCAAATTAGGGTTCTCACCAATGTATACAGAAGTCCCATTTTTGCTGTATGTATCAGAACAGACACAGAGACTGTGTTTAGTAAAATATAATGTCTTTTTACTGGGGAATATATATCATTCAAACAATACACAAACACACACACATTTATAGAACTAAGGAAGCAGAGGTGATTGATAGTTTATAGAGGGGTTATACAACCTGGTCCAGATGTGCAGAGGTCCATGGATCGTGGCCTAAACTCAGAGAGCTTAGGGGTGGACTGCCATTTTGGAGAAATGTGTGCAGAAAACACACGGGCTGAGGCCATGTTTACGCTGGGATATACCCTATGGAAGACAATGCAGACCAATGGCTGGTCCTGGGGGCTGGCCTCAGGTGAGAACAATAGATCTCCTGGACCAATGATGAGTCCCAGGGGTGTGTGGCATCAGGATGGGCAAGGCCTAGATGTGACCAATGAGCTTTCAGAGAGGCAGGGTCTGGATTTAACAATAGAAGCCAAATGCTGGGTGGCTAGTTGAATGGATTATCTGACCACTAATGGCCCTGGCCAGGGTAAACAAAAGGTGGGAGACGTCCCTGATTAGCGTCAGGAAGGACCGTTAATAATTTGAATGTTTGATTGGTTTATCCCGGTATCTTGAGGGACAGAGTAGAAAAGACAAGTATTCAGACAAAGAATTAAATAGACTTTAGAAATGTTAGATACTTACCTGCTAGAACTCATTGTTATTCCATAAGCATAATCTCTGCTGGGTGGAGGGGGAAGACTGGAGGCTTGCTCTGAGGTTGCCTGTCACCTGAAAATGGAGACCCCTTTTTCAGAGCTGTGGCTAGCTCTGTGTTTCAGAACCAAGAGTGCCTTCCTTGGCCTGAGTTTTGTGGGTCTCTGGATCAGGTTAGAAGTGGGGTGCCCTTGCTATGGGGCTACACAATAGTAAAAGGCAGCGCCTCTGGCAACAACAGGTAGCTTTAGAGAGATTTATTAGGGAGTCGGCGTATGTTTTCATGGCTGCATCTTGAGACAAACATCATTCAGGATCCCAGTGAAGCTGCAGCAACTCCTTGTAGATGGCAGAGAATGTTGGGCGCCCATGGGGGTCACGGTCCCAGCACCGCAGCATCAGATCGTAGATGTCCATAGGGCAACGCTTTGGGGCTCTCATCCGAAAGCCTGCCCAGGGGAACGAGATAAAAAGGCTAGACAAATCAAAGGGCAGACATGCTGAGTGTTTAGGCATGGGTTCCTGTATAGCTAAAGATTCTGAGGTACTTTAAGTCACTGGTCAGCAACTAGTTTATCTAGAGTCATTTGGGGACTGCCAGCCTCCAGGTAGGAAACCAAAAATAAGAGATCATGGGAGGAAGTGGAAATCCAAAAACATACAAAAATAACGAAGAGTCAATAAAGATATGTTTGCAAAATCATTTACTGTAGTAACTCTGTAGAAAATTCTATTATTGCTCACACGCAATGGGTACTGCGCAATATAAACAATTCGTTTCACAATAATGTACTGTTATTAGAGAGTTCTGTTCTGTTCAAACAACTAGCATTAGAGGTTCTGTTATTAGAGAGTCAACATGGAATGTTTCCTTCGAGAGTTGATAAGTAGAAATTGATAAGAATTGTGATTGCTACACGCTCAGATAAAGCAATTCTTGTGAAATGAATTGTTTGCATTGCGCAGCATTCGTTGCGTATATGGACTCTGTTTCTGCTGATTCTTGACCCGCTGGCTGCTGCTGCTGCTCGGGTCGCAGGAGTGCATTTTTGTCCCTCCCCATGTAGATGTGGCCAATATTTAGCAAGATGGATGCCAGCCTCCAGGTGGAACCTGGAGATCCCCCAGAATTACAGCTCATCTCCGGACTACAGAGATCAGTTCCCCTGGAGAAAATGGATGCTTTGGAGGGGAGACTCTATGGCCTTGTACCCTGCTGAGGTCCCTCCCCTCCCCAGTCTCCACCCCCCACATTTTCAGGAGTTTCCCAACCTGGAGCTGGCAACCCTATCTCCTTGTTTCCCATTGGTAGCAAATAGCTGCAAAGTCAGAAAGTGTTTGGAAAATATTCACCATCAGAATCATGAAAGAGAATTTGGGGAGGAAATTGATTTTGGCCATAACTGACACCAAGTATTGAACAGATGGCCAATTTAGTACATTTCTAATGACTTGCCTTCAGGGAATGGCTTCTAAAATCCTTCCAGTTCTTACTTTATTTATTGAAATACTTCTTTCCCACCTTTTTGTACAGACTGCCCCCAAGGAGGCTTCTAAAAAGCAATATTACTGTACACACAATAAGGAAATAAACATAATAAAAACTCAGAATTAAAATCCACCAACAATAAATTTGCAGTCAGGAGAGTAGTAACAAGGACTATTGCTATCAAGACAAACCAGCATTCAGACAAACCTTCAAGTCTCTAACACAGCCAGCGGAGCCAAATAGTCTGATTCTAGGTTGCCACTGGACCACTGCCAGGGGACAATCCCCCACTATCACCCTCAATCTCCTGCTGTTGGTGATGTGAGAAGCCGAAGAAAAAATGAGGGGGAGAATAGCATAGCTCTAGGAAATTCCCCAATCTCTATGATAAAGACCATAGAGGCTAGAGGGATGTGAAATCACATGCTCCAAATCGCACCCAGAAATCCCACCCAGATTTCAGGGCATGTGATGTCACGTCCTCCAAGAAGCTCTAGGAATTTCCTCAGTTGCTACGGTCTTTACTATAGAGATTGGGGGAAATTCTGGAGCATCACAGAGGATGTGACATCACATGCCCTGAAAGCCACCTTCCCAGGTACTGGCTCCCAAATCTCCTGGCATTTGCCAATGCAGGGTTGGTATTGCTATCAGATTCAGTGCAGGGCCTCTACATGCCAATTCCAAGAAGGCATATCATGGTAGTGGAATGTCTGTTTTGCCCACAGAAAGTTTCAGGTTCAGTTCCTGAATCTCAGGTGTTAAAGGGTCTTAGATGGTAGGGCAGGGAAAGAATACTAATTGAAGAGACCCTGGAGAGAGACTACTAATCAGAACAGGCAGTTCTGGGCTAGATGGACTGATGATCTTGACACAGCGTAAGAGCACTTTGTAGGTTCCTATTTTCATATAAGGAGACTCCAAGATGATCTCTCTGTGTGTGTGTGTGAGGCCTGTAGCCACAGTGGGGCATTTTGTGGCAATGCCCCCTCATTCATGGCCCACGCCCCACAACTCCCACTGCCCCTGCATTTACCTGGTAGCTGCGCTTGTTCACCTCGGCTGCTATAGGAGAAGAGCTGGCCAGCTGATGTGATTAATTCTCGGCGAGCAGTGTTCCCTCTAAGCTGAGTTAGTGTGAGCTAGCTCACCATTTTTTAGCCTCCAGCTCACACATTTTTGTCTTAGCTCAGGAAGGATGGTGCCAGAGCAAAGTAATTTTATGCAGTAGCCAAACTGCTCGCTCACAACTTTAATGCTGGGAGCTCACAAAGTAGAAGTTTTGCTCACAAGACTCCACAGCTTAGAGGGAGCATTGTCGGCGAGTATGTGCTCTCTGCTACAGTAGCAGGTGGGTGAGGCCTGCCGCTACCGTAGCATAGAGCGCATATTCCTTGAGTATTAATCATGCCGGCCCGCTGGCTCTCCTGCTCCTGTAGCGGCTGAGGCAAACGAGTGCGGCCCGCAAGTAAGGAAAGACCCTTCTCTTCTTTGCCTGCCTTCTGATGGGATCTTTCTCTCTCCCCCCTGCTCCCCCCGCCCCCCGGGATTTCCCAATACCCCATCACCCAAAATTTCCAGCTACACCCCAGGTATGTGTGCGTGTGTGTGTGTGTGTGAGAGAGAGAGAGAGAGAGAGAAATGCTGGTGGTAAATGGGGTTAGTTGCATTATCAATCATTTTCCGCCTGCCCCTCACCCATTTCTTCTTCTCTTTACCTCTCTCCACCTGGCTGATCACTTGCTGATTAGACATTCCAGGGTACGGAGTGCCCCCTAAGCTGAAGATCTCCCATAAGAGAATGCCATAACTCCAGACGTCACTCTCGGTGGAATACCGGCCTGCGGAAGCGAATCAAACCAAGGAAGGAGGAAGAAGGGTGTGGTGAGTGCAGCAAAAGAACGATGGAGCAAGTGTTACCCGCAGAAGAATTTCTTCACATTTAAAGATATAGGCAAACACAGGAATGCTGGTCAGCACTAAATGGGTAACAGGAAATATAAACCCCAGGGGTCTGTTCCCTTTAATCCTTCAGGACCAATTCCAGTCCAATTGGCATAGAGCGGTCTTGAATTCCATCCAGAAATTAGGCTTTTCTCCCCAGGCCCTTCTGGATCTTGGCATAGACCAGGCAAAATCACTCATTAAGCAGAGAGTGACTGACACTGAAAGACCATTGGATATTCTCCGTTCTCCTGGCTATTTCTCTCCAGCAAATACCAGATATATTCTCATTCCTGCAGCTTATTTACATTTTCTTGAATCCAATAACTCTAGAAGGGCATTCACTTTAGCCAGAAGTATGTCCTTGCCATCTGCAGTATTGGGGGGTTTAAAGGGACCCCTCACTCACTGAGGTTCTGCTCCTGCCCCCTCCATGAAATATTTGATTTGATTTGATCAGTCAGCAGAATGTATTTCCTATGGCTAGTCTGTCCTAAACTACAGCATTTGGCTCTGGATTTTAAAAAGTGGATTAAAAAGAGATGCAGTTCCCCCTCCAGGTTCCAGGGGGCAGCACATTTAGAAATGACTGCATAGGTTTTCCTAACCATCATCACCCATACCATGATCACCCTTTCTTGACAAGCTTAGAAGCAGGGCTATTTTTGGGCAGGAACGTACAGGAACAGAGTTCCGGCTGGCTCCCAAATTGTCCACGCCCAGCAGGAACTCATTAGCATAATAGGCCACACGCAACAGCAGAAACTCATTAGGATTGGCTACATTAGGGGTGTGTGACCTAACATGCAAAGGAGTTCCTGCTACAAAAAAAGGCCCTGGGTTTTGACAACAAACAAGGTAAACAGAATAACAAGCAAAAGGTGGGTGTGTCTGAATGACCACACTTCTGGTAACATGGGGAGCGCGGCCTAATGTGCTAATGAGCTGTGCTGTCAGGGGTGTGGCCTAATATGCTAATGAGTTCTTGATGCTGGGTGTGGCATATTATGCTAATGAGTTCCGGCTGGGCTTTTTCTACAAAAAGAGCCCTGCTTAGAAGCAACAGCCTGAGAGGTCCTGACCGTATTTCAAAGCCTCGGGCGCAGTCCATTTGATCGGGATGTACTTCAGGCCTTGCTTGGATGAGTAGACACCACTCTCCTCCTGCCGGGACATACCAAAGTCGCTGATCTTGAGGACACTGCCTTCCCCCACCAGACAGTTTCGAGCAGCCAGATCTCTGTCAAAAGTTCAGAAAGCAGGCCTGGATATAAAGGAATGGGAGCAAGGAGCCTAGGCAGAAGGGGTGGGCTGTCACCAGGCTAAAGAAACCTGAGTTAATGTTGTCATGGCAGGCCTACTTACTGGAGAGTAAATTCCACTGAATTCAGTGGGTCTTGCTTCTGTGTAAATGTGCACAGCTCTGGGCTATAATTGTACTATCTTTGTTGTGCATTGCTAAGCAAAGTTACGCCTTTCTAAGGGCCAAACTAGACCTAATTGCGTCCACAGGTGAGACCTGTGAATGCTGCCACAGTGATTCAAAGATGCTGCAAGGGCCCGATCCTGGGTCGGGCTTGCAGAACAGCAGGCTGAGGTGCTCTTGTCCCCACCCTCCCCGTGACTTCGTGACTTTCAAAGGGAAAAACCTGACACGGGCCGGGGGGGGGGGGCAGCGCACAGCCATTCCATCACTTGAAAAGAGCACCTACGCCTGCCGTGAGCCCAATCAGGATCAAGCCCTCACGGCATTTTTAAACTACTTTAAAATGGCGGTAGCATTAATTCTGCTTAGGATTGCATTGTGAGTTACTTACGTAATTAAATATACATTAATTTGCATATTCGGGGCGAAAGCAAGGATTTTTTTTTTAAGACCTTTCTTGAATGTGTCTAAAGAAAAAAAAATCTCCACTTTAGATTATGTATGCAGGCACCATGCCAAAATTCATCTTAGAATTCCCACTTATTTTGAATGCCTCTTCTAAAATGCTGCCTCGGGTGACACATGTGGATATTATCTACATGTATGAGAAACGGTGTGAGAAACACTGGTTGAAGAGTAATTAATCTAGTGAGTTGAGAGTTTTTTCGCATCTTGGCCGCTCCGTACCTGTGGATGCAACGGTTGCTCTCCAGATAGGCCATGCCAGCTGCAGCCTGAATTGCAAAGCGGATGAGATCTCGCACCCAGAGCCGGCTCCCTTCCAACTGCAAGAAGGACAAGAAATCCCCACCTGTAGAAGAAGATAAGAAAGAAAAGACAGAAATGGTAATGTTGTGAGTGGGGGGGAGTTCTGAAGGTATTGAGTTAGGTGACTCAGTAAATTTAGAACTCCCCTCCCCCACAATTACCTTTATTGCCTTTGAGAGTTTCCCTCCATTCTGAACATACAGACTCGCTTTATACAGGGTCAGACTATTGGCCCATCTCTGACTGGCAGTGGCTCTCCAGGGTCCCAGGCAGAGAAAGGTCTTTCACACACCTGTTACTTAAAATCCTATAACTGGAGGTGGTGGGTGTTGAACCTGGGACCTTCTGCAGTCAAAGGAGCTGTTCTAGTAAGCTGTGAGCCGAAGCCTGTCTCTGGCAGGGCTATCATACCCCTGTCTTTGCTCCAGTGGCCAGCAGGAGGGGGAAAGTTTTTTAAAAAGCTGTCAGCAACAACATGACATTACTTCTGGGGAAAACCCAGAAGTGACATTAGTGACCTCTAGGAATGGCCAGAAACTCCATAGTTTTACCATACAGGTTCTGTTGATTCCTAGAGAGGCATGACGACATGTCCAGGTTTTCCCTGGAAGTGATATCCTGCCGTCACTGATGGTATCCCCAGTGTCCCTGCCCCCTGGACTCTTGACAACCCTACTCTCTAGTGTCGATTAGAATAGTTTATTTCTTAAGCTATAGGTATGCATGCCAGAGTATTACCACTGAGTGCAAGGGTATCAAGCACCTTGGGACTCAAACGGGGAGCCCAGTGGGTATCAGGCACTCGTTCATGATGGGGAAGGCGATGTCTGGTGTACAAAGAAGAAGAGAGGAAGACCCTGCAGAGGGCAGCAAGAAGACAATTAGACAGGATAGTGAGGACAGCACCTTCCCTCTCCTGTTAAGTGCCATTCCTTGTCTGTCTCCAAACTGCTACTCTTCGGGCAATCCCCCCCCTCCTTCTCAGAAGTGCCACACTCAGTCTTAACCTCTCTCTCAGCTAGAAATGTAGCTAGGAGCCTGTCTCTCCTCTTTCCTATCAAGTATGTAAATTCCTAGATAAACCTTTATCTACTCTTTAACCAGGTCGTCGTGCACCATTGCTGTGTTAATTGCCAACGGTTCACAGGCCATACAAGCACCTCAGACCAGAACCCTCCTTGTCTGGAAAACAGGTGGTGATGTAGCATGGAGAAAGGGGCCTAAGCCCAAGCACAGACCACCAGATCAACAGAAGGAGAAGAACTTTATTGGCGCCGGTTCAGTCAGCGAAGCACGCTTTAAACAGACTGAACCCAGAGCAATGCAGGCTCCAGGCTTTTATACTGCAACAAGGTTACACGTCATCATTTACATCACCAGAGTGGAATTTTCCATTGACTAGGCTTACTTTTCCCGCCCAAACCAAACAAGCTCACTTCTGCCCCCTTATGACTGGAACATGAACAGCAACTATCCCCTTATATGGGCAAGGAATAATAAATGCCTACTTCACAAGGACATCAGCCTACTAACCAAATGCAGATTAGTCTGTGCTATTGTGTTCCCCAGAGCAACCTATGGCTGTAACAGTTTTATTTATTTATTTTATTTAAACATTTTTACCCCGCCCTCCCCGCAAGCAGGCTCAGGGCGGCTTCCAGGGGGCTACAGCCCATACATAAAATCCATATAATAACATGGCATAGCATTTATTCCTTGCCTGGAGAGTATACAGTAACTAACAGTACTTTTCTTCTTTAACCTGTGGAAGAATTTATGCATTAGTGTTCAACCTGTTTTGGTAGCTACATTCTTAACCAAAGGTATCAAACAAGGGAGAAGTAACAAACCACCAAAGGCTAAAGCTATTAAGAACAATATACGTTTCCAATCTCCAAGTATGTTTCCAAACCAATCTTCAGCATCTATTCCTGTCCAGGTTTGGACCGGGACATGGGCTAAATTACGCATACGTTCTGTAATTTGTTCAATAGCTTTACCATTGTCATCAATCTGTAAACAACAATTTGAAAGG